GGTAAAATCCTAGAATTTATGAACAGTTTGGAAAAATAGGTTAAAATTGTCAAGCTAAAAGAACTCCGAGGACTGAAATTGTAAACTGGAGCATCTTCTTCACGGATGCGAACACGTTGTTTGACTTTCAAAAGTCAAAATCACATTTGATGAAATCAAATACCTCCGACTATTGCATACTTTTACGTTTTGATTTATAACTCCAATTTGTGATACCAATATCAGCATCGAACGGGATTATCAAGTCCAAAACCTGTTAACTATGAAAGAATATGACTTCCAATTCCAATTTTAAAATTGTCCAAGACATGGAAGTTCACTTTGACATGGTGAGTAGGCAAAAAACAATTTTTGCGTGTCTAAGGATCCCACATGCTCAGGATTTTCTTATGATTATTCCTATTGACGGTCTTGGCCAGCATATGTTACCACTGGAGTATTGTGTCATCCTTAAGTATCGCCTTATGATCCCTTTATTTCCAGCTGACGAGACTTGCCCTGTTTGTCGAAAGGCATGTTTGGACTCCTTTAGGGAGCATGCCGTTCATTATAAAGAGCTCCCAAGTTTCAAGTACCGACACGATCTAGGTAGGGGTGTTCTTTTCGACATATTTAGGCATGCTGAGATTTCTGCCAAGAAAGAGGCCCCTGTGAACTTTCTGACTGACCCATTGGAAGGAAGATCAACACTTAGACCAACTGATGTTTTAGTATTTGGATGGGCTGGAGGAAAACATAAATGCATGGATCTAATAGGGGTTTCCCCTCTTGTGGGCTTAGGGAGTGGAGTTTTCACTATGGGGCAAACTGCTTTAAAAGTGCGTCAAGTAAAGTGGCAAAACATGAAAAAGCGTGCATGAAAAATCAACACACATTTATACCCTTTTCATTTGATACTTTTGGTTTCCTTGCGTCAGAAGCTGTGGAGCTACTCAATAGAGTCCAACAGGGCATGCATAGTAATGTTATGACTACTAGATCTATATATGTTATTTTTAAAAGAATTAGTTTTGTCATCCAAAAAGGGATTGCGGTATAGCTTGTTGATCGTTTACTCGCAATGTCTATGTAAATCTTTCTTATGAATTTGGTAATGAAAACTGCATCATTGACTATAGAAAAAATTAACTTCCGATTCATTAAACTCAGAACGACAATCGCAAACTTAGAATAATTTCAATTTCGAATCAGTTACAGTTTCGTTCCGATTAACTGTAAATTCCGATTCCGAGAGAGTGATTCCGAGGACTCTGAGTATGAACACAATGGACCATGAATTCCATAAAGCGATTGCGAGTTTCAGAACTCCAAACGATTGCAACCTCCGAATTCATAAACTCCGAAAGTGTTGTGGTAGCGAATCACTCCGAGCCTAGACCTCCGAATGCTCGAAGCGATTCGGAGTTTGATGGTAAACATTGATCGATTGTCAATTTCAAGATTCAGAGTTTGGTTCTTCAATGTCGTTTTATTGGAAAAAATTTAAACAATTGACCAAACCCCGAAAACATCCTTCACATTTTAAAGAAATGACGGAGTATACCCTTAACTCCGAAACTAACAAATTATGACCAAAGTTTCAATAAATTCCGAATGTTACCCCCATTTTCAATGGTTCCGAATCTTATCCTCCTATTACAGTACACTGACAACTTGCACCCCTTTTGCTGAAATGTGTCAGATAGAATCCCTCTTTTTGCAGAAAATGTCATTTTCACCCACTTTTTCAACTATTCACCTTTTTGTCATTATCAACCATTAAAAATTAATAAAAATAGATTTCTTCAACACAATTTCAATCGATCATCTTTTGAAAATAATACCCACTTTTTAGTTGGAAAACAAAAATTTCCACAAATTTCATTAAACCAACCAAATTCTCTTTTCTCTTTTCTCCAACTTCTAACATATTCATCTGAAGAAAAATTGAATTTTCTTTGAACATTCTTGACTTCAGCTTTCTAAATCTTTTCACATGCATTAGGTACTTGTACCTTGGACATCCAAACCTTCTTTATTTTACTCTTCTTCTTCTTCTTCTTCTTCTTCTTCTTCTTCTTCTTCTTCTTCTTTCTTTTCTGATTTCTAGGCTTCAGAAACGAATTTCGGATCTGAATAGCCTCTTCATCTTTCTGAATCTGAACATTAGAAACCTTTGGTACACAAACTTTTGGAGTTTGGTAAATCTGAATATCTTGAATTACTGGCTTTCTATATGGAACCATTCCTTCAAAAACTTCATCAGAGCAAGAAAATTCATATGTTTGAGTTCCAATTGAACAATACTTCTTCACATTCACGACTTCTAAATTTTTGCAATGAGATTCGTCTTCAGAACATCTAGATTTGGATTATAAAACACGAACCACTTGACTCCCCCTCAACAAGAAAATCTGGAGTCATCTTTTCTTCAAAAACACGAGGAACATTATGAACTTCACCAAGAACACCAAGAACATCTTCCTTTTTCTTTTCAGCTATTTTTATCTCCAAAATCTGTTGTTTATTTTCTCGGTCTAAATGTCCATGGATAATACAAAATTGTTCTACTATTATCTCATCCTTTTGTAATTCACGTTCATTAACACGTGACTACGTGAGTATTCAGATATTTTCTTATCAACAAAAAAATTATATAACTTAGTAACATCCCTCAACGTATAATCACCAAGAACATGAAATAAAGTCACCTTTTCGACACTATAGACTAGTTTAGTAACCTTTAATCCAAGTTCTAAAATGGAGTTACAAAATAAAAGATCCATTAGATCTTCAACAAGATATATAACTTGAAGAGATAGAAAGCAGATCTGAGAAGAATTCTAGAAAGAGAAAATGGATCCGAGATGATTTTTAGAGAGATAAAATAGATATGAACACAAAAATTCGAATAAACACGAAAATTTTCTTCTAATTCTCTTCCAGAACACGATTCAAGAACAAATCATATGAAATAATGAGTAGAAGATAACAGATCTGAACAACATTTTGCAATAAAACGAGATATTAGACTTTTTCTTTTCAGAAAACTTACAAAACTTGAAAAACAAGGTGAGATTTATGATAAAATATCACCATAAACAAGATCGATTCTTGCAATAATCGCTAAGATATACAAGAATCTACTCTGATACCACTTGTTGGGAATAAATTCGAGGTGACGAATGCAGGATATCAAGAGTAATCAAGAATCAATCGCCATAATATGTAGGTAATCTGATAAAGGTTTTGTTTATATTGATTATGATATGAACGTACAAATAAAATCCTAATCAGGAAAAAGCCTATATCAAAAGCTAACCTAGTGATTATTATAAGGAACATAAAATATTTAGCAAAAATATAAAACAAATTTATTAGAAGAGCTCGATGAAAAACTTCTACTGTAAAGGCATCGTAGGGAATCATAAAACGATTAACCCTAAAAGGCTTCCCTAAATAGTCAAACATGCCAAATTAGTTTCAATATCTCAAATACTCAACATATACCAACAAATATATAGAAACAAACGCATAAAAATATTTTTTTAGGTTAACAAACGAAAGTTATTAATGAAAATCAAATGATATATAATATAGGGTTAAACACGAAAGTTTAGAATATATGGGTGAAATTAACATTTTTTCAAAGTTCGAAGGATTAAAAGTGATATTTTAAAAAGTTAGAGGTGAACACAAACTCATAACATAAAATATAAAAATGAATTACATAAATAGTCTTTATGGTTTAATCATAGTCACAAATTCACTCCATACTATTTGAAAATATCAAAGTACTCTCACACTATCGAATGAACAGTAGCATGCGTTAGCAAAAATGGTCATTTATGCAAGTTTTAGAAATCATATGGACAAAAATTGTCTATTAAATTTTAGGGAGAATTTCATATATGTCATTCTTAAACATCAAAATATCATATTCACTAAACTTAATTTCTAAATATCATATTTACCCTTTATAAAATTTCAAAATATCATATATGTTCTTTTTAAACATCAAAATATAATATATGTCATTCTTAAATATCAAAACATCGTATATGCACTTTTTAAACATCAAAATATCAATTCATCTACAAAATGATAATAATCAACAACAGCAAAAACAAAACAATCAAAATATACATTCCATAGAAAAGGTTAAAGATAAATATTTTTGTCTGTCAAAAGACCGACATTCCAACAATTTAGAAGTTCACATTCCATTATCATAAACATAAGGATAATATGTTTAAATTTCTTAATTATTATAATAATTTTAAGGTATAAAAATGATTATAAAATATTAAAAACATTATAAAATAGGATTTGGACAAATATGATATTTTGAAGGTTTATGAATGGTAAATATGATATTAAGAAATTAAACTGGATAAATATGGTATTTTGAAGTTTAAAAGGGTATATATATGAAATTATCCCTAAATTTTATAATCACCACAAACGTTTATATATAATGTATATTTTTTATTTTATTTATTTATTTATGCCAGCCTCTTTCACTTATCTAGAAGGCTAGAAGCCTTATATGTGATTTTTTTAATAGCCGCATTCATCCGTTAACGCTCAAACATTAATCGGTCTGTAAGCCCATTATATTTGGACCATTGATCAAATTTTCTTTGAGCCCATATACTGTCAGCCTCATATATATTTCTATTTTACTCAGCTATTACCATATATAAAATCGATAATATTATGCCCTTATTAAACTTTCGGAAAATGATTTGATAGGGTAAGATATCTTTTGAAATATACATATTTAGTCCTTATTTTTTTCTTGTAAAATAAACCTTTATACTTTATTTTTTCTAACAATACAATCCTTGTGACTGGCTATATCCGGTATACCGGTCATATACGAATTTCTTTTTTGGAAAAATAACTTGATAGGGTAAGATACTTTTTGAATTGTACACATTTAGTTCTTATTCGTTTTTTTGTAAAACAAACCATTATACTTTATTAATATGTACACATTAGGTCATTTTCACCGGATTCTACAGGTTTTGCTGATATGGAAGCACAAGTGACACTAAATAGCAATTAATTAGCTTAGTCACCGGAGGTGGGTGATCCTCCAGCAACAAGAAAAGGGAGGCGACCCTTCTCTTTCTCTTCTCGCTTCCTTCCGGTCGAACAGCAACAACCAAACACCCTTTACCTGTTGTGTTTCTCCGATCTGTCTCTCTTTGCCTCCATCTTTGAGATATGTTGCCAGAAAAAGAAGAAAGAATCGACGAGGGGGCTACCAGAGCAGTTCCTCGCCGCCAACTACTGTCTCTACTTCCTCCTGCCTTCCCCTTCGACCTTGTTGTTTTTGCCATCATTCCTCCTTTGGTACCAGTGATGTGTAGGAACACACAAAGGAATCGCCGGAGATCGGGGTTCTCCCTCTTTTTCATGATGAATAAAAGTTGGAACAATTTCGTTGCTGATATGTGGATGCCACCTGGGTATTTCATTTCAACAAAATAAAAGAAAGGGAAAATGACTTGATAGGGTAAGATACTTTTTGAAATATACACATTTAGTCCTTATTCTTTTTTTTTTTTTTGTAAAATAAACCCTCCACGTCAGCAAAACCTATAGAATCCGGTGAAAATGACCTAATGTGTACATATTATTAAAGTATAAGGGTTTATTTTACAAAAAAAAAGAATAAGGACTAAATGTGTACAATTCAAAAAGTATCTTATCATATCAAGTCATTTTCCCTAGAAGAAATTCCGTATATGACCGGTATATCGGGTATAACCCATCACAAGGATTGCATTGTTACAAAAAATAAAGTATAAGAGTTTATTTTATAAGAAAAAGAGAATAAGAACTAAATGTATATATTTCAAAAAATATCTTACCCTATCAAGTCATTTTCCCCACATATATCGATTTTTCTTAAAGCTTGAATAGCATATTTATTGATTTTCACAAGGCGTCATCCTAGCCGTTTAATCGATTTTTAGCCTAGAAAATTGATCTTTTTTTTCTAACCTCTTAAATCAATTTTTTTCAGATCGATTTTTTTCTGGCCTTTAATCCTTTATAAATCGATCTTCCCCTTGGCCTTCTTTAAATGTTATTTAAAATATTTTTTATGGCCAACATTAGTTGTAAAATTGTGATGTTGGATCGTGGGGCTAGATTTTCCATTTGGCATGTGAATATGAGAGATGTTATGGTTCAAATTTATTATGATGACAAGTTGGAGGTGAAAGAACTTGAAATCATCCACAATCAACCTAGACCTTATTATGGATAACTCTTTTGGAGTTTCCGGTTATTATCTTTTCAATTGCCAATTTTTAGAGGCTTTCGGTTTGGAAGTGCTGGGATCGCGAGATCATATCACTTGTTCGTTAAAGAATGTTTGAAGATCGATTTTTTCAAGAATTTAATACCATAAAGTATTTTTACTACTTTACTACAACAAGGTATTTTGAAGAATTTAATACCGTTATGTATTTTCACGACTTTAATACAACAAGGTATTTTGAAGAATTTAATACCATAATGTATTTTTAAGACTAATACCAAATGATATTTTTCAAGCATTATGATATCGAAACGTATTTTGGTCGAAATACATTTATGTGTATGGCATTAAGTGTTGGTGATTTTGTATCATCAATGTGTATTTAAGTGTAATGGATTGACTTGGTGACCAAAAATCAATCTTGATAAATATTAAACAAGTAAGGAAGGTGCGGAGTGCACACTTGTTTGAGTTTATTCAAGATTCAAAGTAAACTGTCATTTAGAGACGAAACCCCTAAACGAAAGGGGGTCTGGGGGCAGCGCCCCTGGGAGCGGGGTCCAAGGGGCAGAGCCCCTGGCTGGGATCGAGCTGTATAACCACAGTAAGTTATTTTATAACACGCGTGTAGGGATCGTTATTTTCCTGCTCAAGACTCTCATGATTAGCATGGTCATTTTGTTATAACCACAGTAAGTTCCAAAAGTACCTTCTTTTACTGATTAATAATATTGGAGAGTTGATGGTTATTTATGAGCAACATATTACTGATCTTGAAGATGTTTATATACATGTGAATGCATATAATGAAGGTCGAAATCCATAATTGGACAGAAAATAGCGTCCTGAAAGGGAACAGTTTCAAAAAATGTACTTGTGTATATTGTTTACCATTTATACAAAGAACATGTTTTGTAAAACAAACTGCTGTTATATATTATTGCTCTTGAATCCACCTTTATTAATTCCTTTGGCTTTATTAACATAAGGTTCCTTAGGATCTCCACTCACCATCCTTGATTCATATCCGTGCTTTTAGAATCAATTACGATTGTCCCAAATGATGGGGTTGAAGATGACAACAAAGTTTTAGGTTATAAAAAAGCCGAAATTAAAAAAAATATATACATGCATTGGATTTATATGGAGCAAGTGGGATATGAAAAAGACTATTATTTTGTACCTAAAACATCAAAATTTGCCTAATTAAAAGTAGAAAATATAATTAAATATTTCACACCTTCGAATCTTGGAAGAAATCATGAATTTGATGGTTAGTTTGAAGTGAAAAGCCAAGTACAACGGTTTACAAATTTGATCATTCTTTAGTAAAAAGTTTTATTCTTCCTCATATATATGATACACAGTATTTACAAGTGCTGGCATTGAAATGTTTTGTTAAATAACACCCAACTCAATAGGATACGCACTTTAGTAATATAAACAAAGAAATCATCTGTTCATATAGCATTGACTGCTTTTACAAACATATTTTTTACAGAATATAGGTTTTAACTGTTAAGTGGACCCTTTCTTATATAAAATCATCATTACATAAACTTAATACATGCCAAAGATGTTAACTCTATTATGGTTTGGGGCCCATCTCATACTTTGGCGGCTGTGACCAACTGTTTTTAGGAGCATAAGCCCCGTAAAGTCCAAACCATGTTCCTTTTGTTTTTCTTTCTTTATATTATCACACTTTCTTTTTCCAAAAGTAATTACAAAATACAGACGGTTGTAATTAATTTGAAAAACGGCGAAGATCTGATTGGTTTTGAAGATATTGTTACCGACTTACCGTACTTGACTGGCTAGATACATCGAATGACGGCTGCACTTCAAACAAACTAATGCCTTGTTTCTTTTCTTTTTCTTATTAAGCGGTAAAAAAGCCCTAAAATATATTTAAGTAAATTACAACACACTTGGAGAAAATAGAAGGAAAAAAAATAAATAATGGCCAATTTGTAAAAAGTTCGAATTACACGGGGAATTTTTCATTTCCCTTGATTTTCGTCACTTTACTCATACAACACTTAATGGTAAAAAAACAGATGAAGTATTGTTCCCATTAAATCCGCCAAGTCGTCAAAAAGAGATGGTACCTAAGGATATCTACAATGAATTGAACTTCATAGAGTTCAACACATTGTCATATCATTTTTTTACATTCCATATAACTTTATCAATTTTTTCCTACAATGCATTGAACTTTACAAAGTTCAATAAAAAAACTAATTTATAGTGTGTGTGTGTGTCTCTCTCTCTCTCTCTCTATATATATATATATATATATATATATATATATATATATATATATATATATATAAGAATTAAAAACTTTTATTTTTTCCATTGAAGAGTTCAATGACCATTAAACTTTAAATCCATTGAATGCTAAAGGGACATCTTACTATGATAGAGTTTAATCCATTAAATGATAAATAAACTTGCCACCTCATTCAAGTCACCGTTATGGATGCTTTAAGAGCTAATTGGTTTTGAAGATTTTTATAAGTGTTCATGAGACTTGATTCATTGAATGATGGCCGGAGTGCATGTATGGCTTTCACTAATTAATCGTTATAAAAAAATGACAAAACTTCAAAAATGGTCATTGTGGTTTCCGAAAATATCAAGTTTAGTCCCTAAGTTCAAAAAACCTCACAGATGGTTCCTGTGGTTTCAAAACTTTTAACAAATGGTCCTTCCGCAAAACTCCGCCAGCTTTCTACCGTTAAGTGAGGGACATTTTCGTCATTTCAATACACAGGGATCATTTATGAGGTATTCTCTATTAAAAAAAAGAAAAAAAAATATAATTATTTAATTAAAGGGCCCTACCCCTTTCTCTCTCTCTCTCTCTCTCTCTCTCTCTCTCTCTCTCTCTCTCTCTCTCTCTCTCTCTCTCAAGAAATCCAACCCCATGAAAGCCCACTTCTATAGTTGAGCATTACTACATAATAGGGGTGTTGAACGGGTAATTTTTTCGGGTTTCGGGTAATTCGGGTTTTTCATGTTAGAAAAATTACCCGTTACCCTACCCAAACTAAATTCGGGTAATTCGGGTTTGGGTAATTCGGGTATCGGATCGGGTTTGGGTAATTCGGGTATTACCCGAAATATATAATATTTTTTTTTGAATTTCACCTGAAAATAAATTTAATAAAATAAATACGTCGTGCTTTAATAGTCTTGTTTATATAAACAAACGAGACATAAACGAAGTTACTCAAGCTTTGAACATTAAGATTTTTTAGTCAATAATACATGAGATATCAAGTAATTTTTTAACAACTTAATCTAGTCTAATAAGATGTTAAAAAAATAAACACCTAAAGATCTTAATTTAAAAGTTTAAAATGATTAAGATAAATGTAGCCATAAGTTTTGTCATGTTTTGAAGTTTCGTCAAGATAATGAGTTTGTTAGTTGTAATAAAAACTATAATCTAGAAAATAGTTAAGTTTTAAAAAACGTGATGATATATAAAAATTACTTTTAATATTGTTAGTGTCTTATTGATATAATAAATATATTTATGTTTTACAATAATGATAGTTAGTTTAAGCGTGATCAAATAACTGTTATATAGTACAAGCTCTACAAAAAAAAAAATTTAAAATAATTTGGGTAATTCGGGTATACCCGAAACCCAAAAAATGTACCCTTTACCCGACCCGAAAAAAATCGGGTAACACGATTACCCGGAATAATTTACCCGATACCCGATTTACCCGATCCGATTTACCCGATACCCGAAAAAATCGGGCGGGTAATTCGGGTATCGGGTATTTTCGACAGGGCTACTACATAACATAGCTCAAAATTGTCAGCGATGGTGGATTATGTTGTATTAGACGATGAAAACATCAAAATTTCCTTGAGGTGAGATGGAACCATAGTTACCAGAAATGCTCAATTGGTTCCGATCCTCGTACCCAATCGAAGCCAAATCGTCCCGGTACGTAATATCTTGGCGAACCCCAAAATTCTTCCAATCGATCCCAATCGCGATCGGATACATTCCCACTGGCGTCCCTGATGTAAAAAACGACCATACCTGAACTCGATTTTGTACCTTGTGATCGGAATTTGGGCGTCGACTGAATTGAATTTAGGCGGGAGAGAAGGTCGCATTTTACAGCGGCTCTTTGATTTTTTCTGTATCGCTAGGTACGATGGATCGATTATTTGAATTCCTAATCATAATTTCACTTCTGGAAATCGATTTGTGTATAGTTGTTCATCCTAGGATCGATTTGCATTTGCACTGGTGACCTCAAATTGATCTCCCCCTAAGAAGTGGTTTGAATCGACTTGTGCTTTTCCCCACCACCTCTGACATGCATTGCAACTTTTCCCTTCTGTTTTTTCTATGTTTTGTGGTGGATAAAAAAACCCTAAATCTGTTCTGGTCGCTATCTCTCACTGCCGATGTTCGATGTAGTCGTTGTGGCGATTTTGGTGATCAGAAGGAGCAGGTGGATGTTGTGGCGATTTTTGCGATTTTCCGGTGAGGTGGATTGGGTTTTGTGGTTGGTGCTTTTCCGGTACGAGAGAAGGCATGTTGGCTGTGATTGGTCGGTGACTAGGTGCAGCGGAGGCAGAGTAAGAAGACCATGACCGGCGGCAGGTGGCTGATTGTAGAAGACGATGGCAGCAGCCGGTGTTTGTCTTGGGGGGACGGGTAGCGATGAGAGAAACAAAGAAGGTGAAGAATGAGAGTATTCTATGGGTGGAGAGAGAGAGAGAGAGAGAGAGAGAGAGTGGGGCCCTTTAATTAAATAATTATATATATATATATATATATATATATATATATATATATATATATATATATATATATATATATATAAAGAGTAAATTACACGAATGGTCCCTATGGTTTGGGGTAATTTGCACGTTTGGTCCCTAACTTATTTTTTTAACTCGGAAGGTCCCTACTATTTGTTTTTGTTACGCGCTTGGTCCCTAATGTTTGTTTTTGTTACACGCTTGGTCCCTGTCTTACCCAAAACGACTATTATTTAAATAGAAAAAAATGATGGGGCGTGTAAGGTAAGGTGAGAGGGGTGGGGTTGGGGGTGTGTTTATTTAAATAGATTAAAAAATCAAGGGTAAAATAGTCTTTTTATGTATGATAGGGACCAAGTGCGTAACAAAAACAAACAATAGGGACCTTCCGAGTTAAAAATACAAATTAGGGACCAAATGCGCAAATTACCCTAAACCATAGGGACCATTCGTGTAATTTACTCATATATAAAATAGAGAAAACCTCATAAATGGTCCCTGTGTATTGAAATGACGAAAATACCCCTCACTTAACGGTAGAAAGCTGTCGGAGTTAGGCGGAAGGACCATTTGTTAAAAGTTTTGAAACCACAGGGACCATCTGTGAGGTTTTTTGAACTTAGGGACTAAACTTGATATTTTTGAAAACCACAGGGACCATTTTTGAAGTTTTATCTAAAAAATTAATTGATGCTAGTTATGCTTAATCGATAGTTACATGTATGTTTAAGTCTTTGATCTCATATGTATCCCATTCAAAGAATCAATGAAACAAGATTCATGTTTCATAAAACCAATGTTTTAGAAACCGGTTTGTTAGTTGAACCGGTATGGTGATTAGTTTCTAGTTCAATAGGTTTAACCGGTTCCACCGTCGGGTCAACATGTGTCTATAATTTCTTTTTTCTTATTTTTCTACACATGCATACATATATAAATCAAGAATTTTGCGTCCACAAGTTTATACATTAAAAATACACATAAAAATAAGTTGTAGATCAATCCAAATACATTAAATTAACACATAACGATAAATTTTACATCAGTCGACATACATCAAAAAGAAAAACAAAGTATAATACCGAAAAAAAATATAGTTTTAAATGAATACAAACACATAAAAAAACTTCATAACATTTACGAATGTTTTTATTTATAGAAATCTAAATATATGTGAAAAAGATCATCAAAGTTTATTCTGTAAAATGTTTTTTTTTCATGTGTTTTTATTCAATTTATTCGATTCAACCGATTTAATTTAACCAGTTCAACCGGGTTTTTGTAAAAACCGGCCGGTTCGTTCTAGTTAAAAAATATGCATAAAACGGTTAATAGGTGAACAATTTCCTTCCTTGGTTCTCGGTCCAACCGGATCGATCGGTCGGTTCAAACCGATTTGTAAAACATTGCATAAAACCGACTTATTTCTTGCTTTTTTGACATTAGATCGCGAATTTTGATGTATCTATGTAACCTTTGAACATAAAAACTACTTTCTATGCTTCTTTTAATGGGACATCTAACCACTAATAAAGATGAATTGGACTTATATGGAACAAGTGGGCTAATAAAAAATGTCAAAAATTTCTTACATTTCAAGTGCAATAATTGTGTATATTCCATTCTTATAAAGAACCATCGAATGTATTGAAACTTAGTTTGAGTTTGCACTCTATATTTTTACTAATAATATAACAGTAGGGGAAAATGAAGTTATAAAAGTCCGTTTCAAGATAGTTAAATTACAAGGTTACTCCATCCTTCTTATTTGAAACTTTCACCTTTTTTTTTTTTTTTTTTTTTTTTCTCTTTTCTCATTTCTTTTCGGGTTTCTATATATTTGTTCTAAAACTTTATTTGTTGTTTAATAAATTACAAGACTCTATAGAAGTTGGGTCATTTCATTTGAGAAAGTAGAAACATCATATCTAAGATTTTTGTAACGATATAAAGTTGACTCCTCAAACACTCCACTATCACTCAACCCCTTTTTTCAATACTTCAAAGTTTGTATATTTAATGTAGAAAAAAGGTAAAGAGATTATAAATTTCAGCCATTTTTCACCAAACACACCTGAAAAGGTGAATCTTTGAATGGAAGGTGAGTATGGCATGTACAAGAAAGGAAGCAGTGGATGGTCATACACGACTGGAAATGAAGAATTTCAAGAAACTGATGTTTGGTCTGTTTGGAATCAAAGCAATGATTTTGATTCAAAATCTATCAAGTCAAAACGATCATCATCATCTTCTAATTTGAATTCAAGAAGCATTCCTATTTCAACAGCAGCCAGAATGATTCCTAGACCTGGTACAAACAATCCCTGCATGGAATCTAGGATTCCTCAACAACAATCAGCACCTGTCAACGTTCCTGATTGGTCAAGGATCTATGGAAAGTCAAACAGATCATCACAGAATTCTCCACGGCTTGATTATGGTGGTCATAATAATGGTAGAGGGAGTTGGGACAGTGATGATGATGATGATAATGGTGATGGGAACATGATGCCCCCTCATGAATGGATTGCACAGAAGCTTGCAAGGAGTCAAATTTCTTCATTTTCTGTATGCGAAGGTGCTGGAAGAACACTCAAAGGCAGAGATCTCAGTAGGGTAAGAAATGCTGTTTTGACGAAAACTGGATTTCTTGAATAATATTCCCTACTCTACATACATTATCTTCATAATTCATAACTTCCCACGAAATATTTTTTAAAACCCAACAAATTCAAGAAATGACATTATCATTATCAGTATGATTGATAATTGTGATAATAAGATGGGTCCCATTCATCTTGTGGTGGTATTGTGTGTGTAAATTATTATTCCTCTGTTTATTTTTAATGTTTTTTTATGGTTTGTATAATTAAATGGGTTTTGTGGCTAATGAGTAATGATGGATATAGTTATAAGTGGTTTTTCTTTTTATGGTGTATAACTATTTATTCACAAAGTACAATTGACGTCATGTCTAGAAAAAAAGGAAAGATGGTGCTTTCAAGGTTTTATTATGCTAAGAATTTGGGTTATGTTTTATAGACTAACTATATATTAGCTTTTCATATAATAAATTTATTGGGAGTTTATAAAAAAATAATATTTAAAATAGACTAACTAGACGATAATCGTAAAATGATATAAATAGTATTTAAATATTTCGTTCCAAAATTATTGTCCAAAAAAAAGAACATACACATTAAAGAAATATTCATTATCATTAACTTTATTGAATAAAATATTACATTTAATTTTATAATAGCTATATTTATTTTTATGGTATTTTAACTAATAATAAGAGGTAATTTGATAAAATGATTATTTATTTCAAAAGTAAATTATTATTTTGAAACAAAAAAAACATGGATTATTAATACAAGAGAAAGAAAATATAATAAATTTGGCAAACGAGATACTTCAATCGTCTTAAAACACTAATATATTACACCAAGAGCAACCATGATAGTTGTCCCAAATAGTTCCCATAGTTTTTACAACTTTTCTTAAATTGCATTTTTGAAAACTTTTTGCAAAACTTATTTTGACAACTTTTTTACTAAGTTTTCTAGAACTTGGTCTTTTATACAAATATGTAAAGCTGTATGTAAAAAAAGGAGTTTTACAATTTTATATGCATATAAACAAATATGTTAAAAAAGAATTAGTTTATAAAAACTAAAATTTTAGAAAAAGTTTTTTACAAGAGAATATATATAAGAGGACATTAGGGAAAAGTTGCAAAAAATGTTTGCAAAATGTTGCAAACGTAGTTGTAAATTTTGTAAAAAAAAAATTTATGTTTTATAAACCATATAAAACAAAATTATATATATATATATATATATATATATATATATATATATATATATATATATATATATATTTTAAAGTTTGTTTCAATGCAACACTTTTCACTAATATATCTACCTATTTATCAATAAACTAGGAAATATGCACTTATCACAACATATGTGATGATTCAATCGGTAGAAAAACCTAAAAAAAGTTCAATTATATATCTTACCTCATCATATGTGATGGGACATTAATACATACTCAACATTAATTAATCATGTGTGTAATTATCAAGATTCAGAAATTTGCAATGTTGTATCTTGAATTATATCAAAGTCTTGTCAATCTTCAAAAGTCATAGGACAATTTTCTGTTTAGATCTATCAATATAGATCTTGATTTTGATATGGTATTTCCTGGGGAAAAAGCAATTTTCAAGCCAATATTAAGGTCTTGCAAGCTTGGATAATTAGCCTGAATGAAACATAGAACTTATCTCAACGATTATCAAGAACAAACCATTTAGGAATGTGTTTTGATTTTATTTGTCATCTTCGATAATCCAATTATACAAATATGACAATATGTAACTATAACGCTTTAACGATTGCTATATGAAAGAAGAGTTTCCTAAATATTTATAATTTTGGAGAATCATTCGTTGTGAATAGATCATTAAAGGTATGTACTTTTAAGTCCAAATGGATCTTTATTTGGAAGAATCAATTTGTACTTAACATACTTCCTATTTTCCATATCTGATAATCCAATTATACATATATGACTATGTAATCAAAACTTCTTATTGACATCTCTAATAATCCTCTTATACACATATGAAAATATGTAATCATAACACTTTAATGATTACTACATGAAAGAAGAATTTCGTCAAAGTTCATAAGTAGGCTTAGCAATTTCTAGAATTTCATTTAAGACAATTTAAAAAGCTTGCCCAAGCCATAGAAAATATGGTGAGTTGTTCTCCTTCCTTAGTTAAAACCATTTAAGAATGCTTATTGCATACTCTAAAGGATAATCTCAAAAAATAGATGTAAGGCAAGTCTATATGGACATTTTTCTATAAAGGTCATATACATCAATATGCATTAGTCTGAGTAATGTTTTCATCTAAGTGATGATGCTTTAATCCCCTTCTCACATAATATAAATCACATAAATTAAAATGACTCAAAGTTACATGATGCTAAGATTCCTTTTTATTGGAAGTTTTCTATATATTTCAAGTTGACGTGACTAAAATGATAACGTCACGATAACGAACGTTCAAATGGACAAGAACAACATACTACAATTACATCATATTGTAACAAATTTAATGGATTTTTATAAAATAATATATGTTATTTATAACAAAATGATACTTTCTAAAAAATAATTATATAAGAACCACTAAATAGTTAAATATATGAATATTTAATTGAAGTGTTTTAATCTTCAACATGAACGCCAAGAACGATCAACATAAACAATCAAAATAAATTAATGGTGATCATAAATATAAATGTGGCTTTGATACCTTATTGGGAAGTATGTAAACCAAAACCAGTTTAAGAGTAGTACACAAAGGAAGACTTAACAAATTAAAACTTTATAAGAATTTCTAAAAGTTGGATCCCATTAGAACATTTATAATTAACCAAAACATCAACCCATATGATGTTAGAAATCTATTACCTTAGTATGTATGGATCCTTTGATGTAGGAGACAATGATCAAGATAGATCACTACTATTGCTATCCATATGAGCTAATACGAACTACTGTTAGACACCAAAAATCAAAATCAAAACAATTATATTTTCACTTGTCTTATGATTGTCGACCAAGAGAGGGGGACCAAATGGAGTCACTAAATACAAGGTGAATGATAAGATTGGATTAGGGTTTTCAGTATTGACTTATTTCCATAATTCTTACATGTCTTTCTTTTATTTGAACTTTAGGTGAGCTTTAGGAAAGCGTGTTCATGCCAACCACTTCAGTATCCCAAACTCATTAATTACTCATTAATTAGTTAATTAGACAAATAAACTAAAGAAAGTATTTTATTTAATGATAAGTAAAACCTTTTTTATTATTTACATTATAATAATAAATAATAAATAACTAATTATTTAAATAATAATTTATATATTGTAAATATATTATTTATCCTTGTATTTTTTAATGTTATTTGTCAGTAACCTCATAGATTCACGTATAACTAGCATTAAAGTAAATTCTTTGTTTCTTACGTACTAGATGCAACACTTATTTGATTTTTACAACAAAAAATGTAGCATTAAGTAATTCCTTACTATTATAAGAAAGCCTCTTGAAAGTACTTCCTTTTATTCTCTGACTTATAAAATCCTAATCCTTAAATTTTAAAGAAAAAGAAGACCGAAATTACTCATCCATTTGAACTGGATTAACCATGATAGTTTGAATAGTTGATTGTCTTTGGTTTCAATTAACCATTCCATATGAAGAAGATTCCATAACTCCTTTAAACAATCCAGCCTTCCTCAATGTATAAAGTGGTTTGAACACATAACATTCATGACAAAGTGAACAACGTATGTAAGGCGAAGATCCATTATCATATCAGACTAAAAGAAGAAGTTTCATTTCAAGAACCTACAATACTTGTTATTGATATGTTTGATAATATATAGATGCCTTCCAACAAACATGTATGAAAGTGTAGCCTCATAAAGCTTATTCAACTCCTTAGTTTTTGCAACTAGTGCTTCACATAATTAAAACACACCATCATTTATAAAACACATATTACATCTTTATGAACTAAGTAGATATTTTACACAATTGCTCATCTATACTCATATAACTTTACTAATTGCAATTTTATGAGTAATTTCATTGATTATAGAGATCCAATTTCATTTTCGAGTTCTAGAAGAATCTGAGCCACTTGGACTTAACTCATACAAAAGAGTCACACAATATGCTATTAACATCTAATATTTCATCCACATAATGTTTTCTTATATGGGATGGAGCCCATTATTACATCTTTTCTGACTAAAAGTGTTCCATTATTAGTTATATTTTAGATTGCATAACAACCATATAAAAACATACACATTTGTATGAAAAATGATGGAAATACTTGATCATACCTTCTTCAAATACTTGATCATACCTTAATCTACTTTCTTTTAAAAATTTGATATGTTGATTCTTTTTCAACCTTCATATCAATAACAATACATGTTGAACCTTATCAACATGAACCTTTGATGAAATTTGAGAAATATTAATATCATGTGCACTCTATAATCAACATTATGTAACGCCCGGGTTTTCAGGGCTAAGCATTTTTGTCAATGTAATAGTCTAGGTCAACTATTGTAACTCTTTTTGAAGTAATAAATATGAAATATTTGAGTATTATGTGAATTATGTGTGTTTATGTGTTTATTATTTAATTATAAATGTATAATTAATAAAGAATAAAAATGAGCGTCAAAATTAAAGTGTGAGATAATCCCGATATCTCTACATAAAGTTGTAGAATATGTCTCAAGGTTTCCGTACATATAAAGAATACCGAAATCCGAGCTATAACGAAGAAGTTATGGCCCGCCGAAGTTTTACGACAAAACCGGCACGATACCGGGAGACGTAAATAGTGAATTTACGATAGAAGACTTTTTAGCCTTAGCAATCTAAACAAAAGTCGTAGAATATGTTAAACTAAGAACATCAATAAAAAGAACGCCCAAATCTGACTTCGTATGAAGAAGTTATGATTTTTCTAAGATTCGACTTAGCAGTGCACGGCCTGAAACTCGAATTTTAGTTCGAGCGGTTTTTGGCTTACGCAACATAAATGA